ATAAAGGACCCAGCCGAGCGTCTTCGGGCCGTTTTGGAGTGAAGTGGATCCAGTTAAAACGTTGCTTTTCCAGCTCCTGCTGACGGCTTCAGACGGCTCTCTGCTGGAATATGATGGATGGCGTCCAAACAAAAAGCCCGTTTGAGGAGCGCTCAGCGGAGAGCGAGCGCTGATGGATGAGCAGCGTCTCCAAACATCTGAGCACAGCAGCCGGTTTTTAAAGGCTCTGCGCTCTCTGATGGGCTACAGGACCCTCAAAACCTGCCCTCATCCAATATGGCGGCTCGGTAGGTTTTATTTTCCATAAACAAATGAAATGATCTGCATAAATAACTCGGATCAAATGGTTCAAGCTGGATTTTTTGCCTCCAGAATCAGCTCTGGTTTCCACTAAATCAGCTCAAAATAAACCAGAATAACTCTGATTTCCACTAAACGAGCTCTATTCTCGCAGATATAACAGATAGATGTGGAAACAGTTTCACTAAGAAGCAGAAACTAAACATTTGGGATCTTTTTTGTTCAGTCAAACAGACCTGAGATGACAATATGAGCTAATTTTACACAAAAATAATTGTTTAAAACAAGTTTTTAGTTTCTCCACAAGAAGATGAAATAATCTGATTAAATCAATTTTGGAATCAGATAAACTTAAATTTAAACTCAAAAGAAAACTAACCATCTGAAATGTAAACATTGAATTCCTGCATTTTGCTCCAGAACCACCTCAGATTTCCTCTAAATGAGCTCAGTTCCAGCAGATGTTACAGACAGAAGTGGAAACATGAGTTCAGCAGGTGGAAACAGCTTCTCTGAGAAGCAGAAACTCTACATTTGAGGGTAATTTTAGACTTTTAGTTCAGTCAAACCGACCTAAGAGGAAAATAAAAGGCTTTAAAACACATTAAAGTGTCTCTTTCATGAGTTTTATGAATAACCCCTTTAAAATATGAGCTAATTTTACACTAAAATAATGAAAACTTGATAACTTTTTCATAAGTAACTGAAATAATCTGCATTATATCAATTCAGGAATCAGATAAATTACCTAAACAACTCAAAACAGCGCAACACGACCCAGAAAAGCAGCAGGAGAAGACGAGGGTTTGGAGCCGGAGGCTCCCAGACGGCTTCACGCCGACTCAAGAAAACACACAGCCGGCTTTGTGTGAACGTTTAATTTCCGTTCAGGTGGAAGAAGCCAAAAGTCCCACAGAGAGCCTGAAGGCCGGCTTCAGATGGGCTGTTAGTGGTGGAACGAGAGGGCCGGCGAGGAGGCCAGGCCCCCCGCCGCTCTGCAAACGGGGGAGCTAACGGGGGAGCTAACGGGGGAGCTAACGGGGGAGCTAACGGGGGAGCTAACAGAGGCCTTTCACTGCTGTTGGCTGGAGGAGACAGAAAGGTTTTCTGTTTATCAGAAAAACACTCGTTTCTGATCCAGGAAGAGTCTGTTTAAGGGCTACACTAACTAAACACAGTATAACTAGATGTTAACTACGCTAAACTATATATTTAAGCTAACTATACTGTAACAAGATGCTAACTACACAAACTAAATTACGTCTCTGACGCAGAGATAAGAAGCTATTTACAAAGATCATCTGAAAGCATGGAGCTGTTGGTTAGGTTTAGGAAAGGCCTGAGTTTTTAGGTAAACCATTTCATAATGTACAGTTATATGTAAATGCTAATGATACTCTTTGTTAATTACACTGTAACCGTTTGCTACCTAGACTAAACAACCACAGTATAACTAGATGCTAACTACGCTAAATCATATTTTAAAGCTGAGTGCAGAATAACTAGATGCTAACTACACTAACTAAATACGTATATGCTAATTACACTGTAACCATATGCTACCTACACTAACTAACCACAGTATAACTAGATGCTAAATAATCTAAATGATATGTTTAAGCTAACTTCAGAAAAACTAGATGCTAAATAAATGATATGTCTAAGTTAACACACTGAACCCTGAGCACATGCTAACCAGAAATTTATTGAACGCTAAATAAAGGCTAACCAATTGCTAAACTTCTCAAATCGCTACCTCTGTCTCTCGTGATTATCTTGTCTTAACTTTTCTATCTGAAAGTTTCTAAACTCCTCGCAAACTGTGCTTTGGGTCTGGAGTCGGACTGGGTCAGAGGAAAAACTGGGTAAAAAAATGTGATCTATGGTTAAGTCGACTTCAAATCTAAACTAACCAATGATTCGTATAACAGAAGAGTTCAAATTCAGGATTTTGGTCAAATCCGAATGTATCAATTAGTGTTCAGTCTTTAGATTTAGGTTTTTAAATGGTATTTTTGACCTATACTATTTGAGTAAAAAGCCCTGAAAACAATTAAAAGCCTTTGAATTTGAATGTAAATGCTACCTACTAACTATATGCTAGCAACACTTGCTGAATGATACGTTTAAACTAACTGCAGTATAACTAGATGCTAACTAAATTATATGTCCAAGTCTTTAGATTTAGTTTTTTAAATGGTATTTCTGACCTATTCTATTTATATTATAAAAAACCCTGAAAACAATTAAAAGCCTTTGAATTTGAAGCCTGAACGTGTGTGTGTGGACGGGCACTGAACCAAACAGCGGAGCCAGAAGCCCGCTGGATTGTGGGTAATTGCCCTCACAGGGTGTCAGGGGAAAGCAGGCCTGAGCGCGGCGACTGGGACTCAGTCGGGAGGATCGATAGGAGCCGATGGCAGAGCTTCCAGCATTGGCATTCCGGGAGGGTCCTGGATGAGAAGGGAGTCATCAGGATGAGAAAGGTTAACTCAGCAGCCTCCTCCCGCGTCCGGCCGGGAGATGAAGGCCGCTCTCAGCCTCCTCCCGGCTGCCTCCCAGCATCACAGCCAGTTTGCCTTCCTCCTCTCAGACCAGTCTCAAGCACTTCTGCTGATCCGCCGCCCGCTGATGGCTCGTCAATATATGGATCCCCCCTCCCCTCCTCTCTAATTCACAGAAAAAATCTAGTTTTCCATTAGTCTCTGCCCCACCGACGTTACCCCGAGCCTCTGCAGCTGTAATTATTAAAGGCAGATTCCCTGAAAGCAATCAGCGCCGCGCCATTTGTATCTTTGAAATCTCAATAGGCCGAAGGGAAAGAGCGGAGGATGAGCAGGGAAGAGAGAGAGAAAAGAAAGGGGAGGAAGACAAGAAATAAAGCGACGATTCAAGTGGAAAGTTCAGAGAAAAGGGCTGAAGACAAGATGAGGATGAAAAGACGTGAGAAATAGGGGAAGAAAGAAGAGAGAATCTGAGAAAAAAGAACAAAGAAAGGGGGAAAAAGCTTGTAGATTATAGACAAAAAAGAGAGAATATGAGAAAAAAGAGGGGAAAAAGGTGGAAAAAGCTTGTAGATTCTAGACTAAGAAGAGAAAATATGAGGCAAAAAAGAGGGAAAAAGGGGGAAAAGTGGGGAAACTAATAACTAAGATGAAAAAGAGATAAAAGAATAGAAAGTAAAGCAGTAATAGAAGGAAATATGTCTGAGGATTGGAGGCTCTGACTGAATACAGAAATAAAAAATATATATTTTGACTTTTTGTCCATGTTCTTGCTTTGGTTCTCTGGCTTTTGTGGTCAGTATGAGATGTTTCCAGTCTGCAGCTCTGTAACTAGATGCTAACTACACTAAATGTTATGTTTAAGCTAACTACACTGTAATTATATGCAAACTACAATAACTAAATATGTATATGCTAACAACACGAACAAAATTTTATGTTTAACCTAACT